GAACCTACTTACCAACAGTGAAGTTTACATTTAAGTATTTCAGAATGGATTATAGCTTTAGATGTTGTTGAATGGCCCTAGATAAAGATGTCACCATCCTGAGACGAAAACAACCGCTAATGCTGCTAATGCTGCTAACGCTGCTAACCCTGCTAACGCTAAGCTGCAAGACATCAAACTTGCAGTTGCGATCAGTGTCCAACATGCACTTCAAACTGCTGGACCACAGGTACCATACATATTGTTTGCAATGACCACATTTTGAATTTAAATTTGAAATACTGTTTTCAGCAGTGCTTGCAGCGTTAGCATTTGCTTTAGTCTCAGGATGATGACGTARTAATGACAGCCAAGTGCCACCAGCCAAAGCTGCTTTTTTCTTTTAGAAATTCCTAAATGTGAACTTCAACATTTTAGATTGAACTTTTATATTTAAATTTACATATTTAGATTTAGGATTTTAATATTTACATATATTACATAACATTTAAATTTAACATTTAGTAAAAATTAGCAAAATGTATGAACATTTAGCTAAATACCAATAAAATGTTAGTGGAAAATCCTAAACTTTTACACTTAGAAATCTCAGGTTAACTTTAAAAGATAAATGATTCCTACTTTTACACTTAGAAATCTAAGAGATAGAAAAATTAAAATATGTTAGTGACACTTTTAACATTTTATTTTACACTTGGCACCCCATATGCTGTGTTGTTATATGTATTGCTGCCAGCATACACATTTGAACTTGATTACAACTGACACTATTCAAACTATATTGAACAGACTATTTTTAGCTACCAAAGACAAACTTTTTAAATACATTCAAAGGTCACACAGGTGGTTWCACGTCCTCCAGCTCTGCAGATGAGGCCCCTCAGAGCATAGCGGAGCGTAAACATTTGCCGAAGGTCAAGCTCCTCTTGCACAGGTTAAACAAGATAATACAGCAGAGCTGCTTCTGCTGCTGAGACAGAGTTCACTTTGAAAGACAAGCGCAAACTCTCWATGGTGCAAACACAGTTTATCATTTAAACTATTTTCTCTTCTCTCTGGCTTAAATCRTTTTTTAGGATGATTTCAAAGGTTCCATATAGAGATATACTTTTTGTTTCAGTGAAATATTTTGACYCGGAATTTTGAAAGATATGAATTTAGAGACTATAAGGAAAAAAAAAGTTATTTTTTCCTCCCTCTGTATTCCTTTATAAGCTTCCTAAGCTAGAGCTGATACAAAAATACAGTTTGGGGATAGTAACTATTTATCATTATGAAAAACACATTTTTTTCTATTGAGTGACCTGCTAAAATGATCTCTATATGTTTGTGTGTGTCTTTTTGTTTTATTCAATTGTATTTAAAACTCAATAGCTTTCCATTTTATTTTGAGTGCATTTTGAGTGCTTTTTTTTAAAGAAATCCCATGGTTTTGGAGCTAATTTCACCAAAGAAAATCATCAAAAGTAGCTACTAATCACCACTTTTATTCAATATATTGAAAGAAAACGCACTTACCCAGCCTAATGTGTGTTCAAGAGAGTCTCCACCTTTGATTTGAGTGGTAAGCAAATTTATAAAGAGAGGAAATAATTAAATCCTAACAGCTTTTCATCTTCCACAAGAATGGAAACCATTCTTTATTTATTATTTTTTTTACTTTATCCTCCTCATGTTTTTTTTTCTCCACCATGATCAGATGAATCTTTGTTTAGCAGGGGAATAAAAAGAAGAGGAAGAGAGCTGAAGATGTGTAGAAGAGACAGTTGGCTCATTATCGCCCGGAGCAAAAATTCTGTGAACAAAAGTCATGTGGGTTGTGTGGGCACATGTCTTCTAGTGGATGCTTTGATTTGCTTCCTTTTCATATGAAAGGCAAACTGTTTAGTCTGTCCTGTTCTGTGTGGAGTTTATTCAGCAGCCCCACTTTTCTCTTCACTGTTGACTGGTGATCCCTGTGACCAGCACCTGCACAGTATTCATTCGAGGGGTTGTCCAGCAGATCACCAGAACTGCTGTGCTGGGGATTAGCAACTAGGCTTTGGGAAGCATTTTTTTCAGCAAATATTGGATAAAGAGTTTTGGACTCACCAATACAAATTGTTCATAAATAACATGGTCCAACACCTTTGTGGTAAAACATGACAGAAACACAATTCTCCTTTATGAACTTATAYGCAGAGGAAAGAAACACAATAAATCATTAACTGTGTCTGAATAAGCCACTGGGTATCAGCTGTAAACAAAACGCTCCAGCTGTTTGCTGAAAAAAAAGGCTTTTGTAAATATATTGTTCTAGCTCACGTGTCAAACTCAGGGTCCGCGTGACAAATGTAGCTTGTGGATGATTTCTGTCCATCCCCTCAAAACTTCAACTTTGGCATCTGCAACATGGCCTTCCCCTGCTTTTCCACACACACACAAAAAAAAAAAACAGCTCCAGAGATGTTCTGGGGTTAGGGGTTAGGGGTAGGGAGAGAAAAACTAAGAAAGTGGTTTTGATTTTATCTCAGAGAATGAATTTAGTTTTGGTGTTGTTTTTAAAGATGGTATATTGTTAAAAATAGACTTTTTGAGCTTTATATCATGTTGTGATGTTAGTCCCTCATCAGTGTTGCTTTGATTCATTTGTGCTTGTTTGAGAAATCCTTGAATCTCCTGTGGTCGCCATGTGAAGCTGCCTAAACACTTGCTGGTCCAAAGCTCTGTCTATTTGCACATAGCACCTCCCAGGAGCTCAGCCAAGCCCCCAGCCCACAGAGCACCCATCCAGAAGCATTGTTGTGAAGACGTGCTGAAGTGGTACTGTCCAAAAGGGTCAGGGGCTCTTAAAAAGACAGAGGCCAATGCCAAAGCAATTAGATAGGTTATGATGCAAAATCTAACTTATTTTTGATACAGCATTTTCATAACAGCTGAAGGTGACATAGTTACTCGATTGTGGTACAGAATTGAACCATGTGCCTGGAAAATACATGATACCCCCCTTTAAATCTCAGATGTTAAGTTTGATCATTTCACCACTTTTTCTAATTTTMAATCTCTTCCAAACTCACCTGTAATTCAGATTTTTTRCCCCCAATTTTCTTCTCTTTTGGTCTAACCCAGTGGTGGTCCTTTGTGCTGTCCAAATTCCAGTCCTTGAGGTCCACTATCCTGCATGTTTTTCTGTCCAGCACACCTCATACCGTGATTTAATTGCCTCTTCAAATCCTGTAGAAGCCTGTTAATCACCAATTCATGCAAATGAGGTGGGTTGGAGCAGAGAAAGCCCTAAAACATGCAGGATAACGGCCCTTGAAGACCGGATTTTGTCACATGTGGTTTAAACCATCCTAAATTTGTACCTGATGCTGTGATTTATAATTTTCATTAGTTATTACTTTTAATTTAAGAATTTTAAAACTTTTCCTCATAAARGGATCAGACAGACTGTCTGGCAGTGTTGAATCAGAACAAATTTTAAACTAAATGGTCCTTCGTGCTGTACTTTTCCGGGATTAATGAAGCAGGTCTCATCATGAAGAGATCCACATGTTCCGGTCCTGATCTACTCTGAGAACACAGAATTTTGTTTAACAATATGTTTTAATTCCATACAATTTGAACTGGATTGTTATAAAAAATGACTTGTCTGACCATATTTGATGTAGAATATGCGTTATGGTTGTAAACAATTTCTATCAGACGAACTCTTTATCTAAAAGTTTATTAGCCTGTTTCATCACCCGCCAAAGCAGTTTCATATGACCTTAGTCTGTTAATTAAACCAGCTTTTTGAGCTTTGATCTTTGGGGCAGATCTTTTTTAGAGACAACTGTAAAGGCTCGCCTCCTCTTAGTCAATCGCCCATATCCAATTAGGCACTGAATTTGACAAGAGCTGTGGAACTTTGGTGTTTCCTCTTTTCAYATACTTTAAACTCGAGGTCTGCGAGTTCTGCAGACAGCTGATTAATGCACTCTGCTGTGTCCAGAAATGGAGAGTCTCTTGCTGAAACTTTGTTGAAAAGATGACAAAAGGAGTTCTGACTTGCAAACAAAATTGTTCGTTCGTCCTTTAAGCACTGTATTGATGGACAGTGGTTGAAGTGGTTTAAATGTTTTAGCAATGACACTCCACCAAGGAAGTAATATCATAAAATTATGGGATAATATTCAACAATATCAACTGTGCCCAGCTCAGAGTATGAATTGCAGTTGTCCAAAAAGGTTTTAAGGTCTTTGACTTCTCCTCAAATATCTGATGTGCTTTCATGAAAACCATGTCAGTTATTTGTAAGGTTACAATCCAAAGTGAACCATTCTGTAGATACATTTGGAGTCTATCAACATGGCTAATGAATAAGGGCACCTTGTAGTTCTGTCAACATAATGAGGTCACAACTTGAGACAAACAGATTCACTGATAACTTGAACTGAAGCACAAGTTTTTAAAATAAGTGCTTGTGGTCAAATTGGTGTCAAACTACAAGGCACTTGTTTCAGTAAAAGTGAAATATAGTACTGATGTAAAGGTTTAGTAGTAGATAATGCACCATTATTGTGCACCAGTATGACATTTTGGAGAAAGAATTGCTTTGATAGCCTGAAAAACGAGGCTAATAGCCTGGCCTGGAGGAAGACTTTTGCCCTTTTCTTCATCCTCCATGCTTAATGTATGATGTCACAGCTGAATGATTAGTATTTGACGGAACATCACTTCAAAAATGGCCAGACTATCCCTTAAGGGCTTTAAGTGATGGGTGAAGAAAACAAACATGAGTTGTTGATAGGGAGTACAAGTCGCAACATGACAGAAAAAAAGGAGTTCACAAATATATAAAAGAGAAAAAAAAGATTTAGTAATATCAGGCATATAAATGTTTGATTTTAAGCAACGTCATGAGCCCAGGTTTTTTTTAGTTTGTGTCTCTAAAAATACAGCAACTCATCATGCAAGAGAACATTAAATAACTGGAATTAAGTGAAGTTCTAAATGCAAAAAACTTACAATAAAGATACTGGTTTTAGGCTGTATTTGCACCCTTGACTTTATTTCACAGTACTTTGTCTGAAAGCAGATAACATAGTATTAAGAATTGAAAATGATAATAAAAAACACAAACATTTTGTGCTCTTGTTTGTTCTGATGCACTCAAACAACAACGTGTTGATCCCTCTAAAATGGTTTCCCGACACCCAAACTTCTAATTCGACACAGAAGTGCTACAATATGCAGTATAAAAAACATGGTTCTAAAAAGCTAAATAAACTAGAACCTGGACAGCTCTCAGAAGATATTGAAACGTCTTTACAAAAATAATAAATGGATAATGAACAACATTTTCAACAAGTAAAAGAAAACTTTACACTTTTTTTACCCAAATCCCAAAAAATTTAAGGCGGTTGAAATACTGAGTCAGAAAACCCAGTTAATACTTAACAAGGTGCTTACATAAGACATTCACATCAGGCTCATAAATGCTTCATCTCTCATTAAAATATTATAACAATGCTGTGACACTGTTACATGAGATGAAATCATTTTGGGAAARAAAAATAATGAAATGCARCAYTTGCYCATTTAGTAAACACTCAGAATAAAAATATGTAATTTCCCAGAACTGTATTAAATTCCAGACTCACTTTAATTACATATTTTTACTGTACTGTAATGGTTTTATTCTTGGAAGGGTAAAAATCCACTATAATTGTAAATCATGGAAACTACTGCAACCTAATGGTACTCCTTCAGCAGCTGAGTTAAAAGATCTGATGGATCTATAAAAAAAAAAAAAACAGGAACTATTGCTTCTCCCATCTCACAGAAGAAAACCCTGAAAAAAATATTTTAGCTGGTATGTTATCTGGAGATATTACACAATTTGGTGACAACCAGAAACAATTTCTGGATAAATTTTATATATATATATTTCTTTTTATACAGAACAATAAAAGAACCAATTTGGTGAAGGTAATGTCATTATGTTTGAAAATTCCACACAGAAATATCCATAACAAAACTTTCAAAACCTCTTCTTGGGAAAGTGTTTTTAAAAAAGGTCGTTTTCTCATCACAGAAAGGTAAAAACACAGTAAAGTTTCTTCTGWTGAAGTCTAAATAAAAATGGAGGTATATGAAAAGATTTAATTTAGGTCTGATTTTACCACTTGGTTCAATAAAATAAACTAGTGCTATGTTTAAATTATGTTTTCTTTCTTTGATGTACTGTGTAAAAAATGTGCAATAATCTGTTCTGTAAGGAGTCCACACTGATGAACTGAWAAAACCAACTCTCATAAAAAAATTTCAGCAGTGTAAAAGTTCATCTAATGGTTTCCCATTAGATTCAAATCAGATACATGTCAGTTTTTCAGAATTGTGTGATGAATCATTATGAGCCCGATTGGAACAAAATATATAAACATCTTACAAAAAAACACTTTAAATCTTGTTTTTACTCAGAAAAAAAGCGAAAAAGAATCATTATATACAAATTCACAGCCAGTAAGTCAGAAGATTCAGTTTCACATTCGTAAATCTGACTCTAAAATGTTGATGTTTGCCATGTACTTGGCTTTCTTAATATACAAAATGCTTTAGCAGCCTAAGCAGATAAAAATCACATTAAACCACTCAGCAAGCAGCAAGGCCCATCTGAATAACAAACTACTTTCTTCCATTTGTTCGATCACACGTAATGTGATGTAGCACATTGGAAGAAATATTGAAGCATCTGAAAAACAGAACCAAAGTTATTAATAGCATGAAAGAAAAATGTCATGGAAAATGTAGAGAAAAGCTGCCTTAGACAGAATTTATATTTGTTACATTCATCTATCGGGCTCACCTGCAAGCTGCAGCTTTCTGTGTACTTAAACAACAAGATAAAGTGCAGCTGCCTTCACAATGAAAAGGTGGTTTTTAGTCAGCTTTTGTTTGTTCAGTACAGTATCTTGTTTGTGGGTACTGTTTTCCAGTTTTCTCTTCTGAGGGAATAACCGATAAACTAATCAATAAAAATGTATATGTACTTAAATGTAAATTTTGTATAATCCCTAAACCGTGCAGGATTATTGTAAACATTTCAGCGTGTTCTACTTTGGTTCTAAAAACGCAAATAGTGGTTTACGAATCAGAAAACAAAAACGATCACCATGGCATAATCGACACTGCATTTTAGCTTGAAGAAAGTATGTCAGGACACTCAAAACTGCACAGTTTAATAAAAAATAATAAAAGTGAATCCATCTGAATTGTGTAAAAGTAAAAAAAAATATTTAAAAAACAAACTGATGGCAAAATCGTCAAAAGTTCAGACAGCTGTAAAMAAGGGCTCACTCTTCTTCAGTAACCAAGATAATCTCAATAAACAGTATTCCGTTTGATAAACCTGATTCTTCCACTAATACTTTGACATTTACACAGCAAACATTGCAAATATAGAAACCCATACCTGTACACYTTTTTCAATTAAATATATGCAAGAAGGGAAGACAAAAATATTCTATTTGCATGGGCCCAGATAGTTCTTCAAAAAATATTGAGGTTTCAGTATCTTTATATAGTAGTTTCAAATTACACAACAGCAAATCCACTCTCACAGGACTTGGCCATGCGATACCCAAAAACCTAATATCCATTGTAACATAGATCTATATATATATGTATATTTATATAATTAATTTGCAATACATTTTTTCCAGATGAATGTTTTACATAATATGACAAATTTAAAGAATTTCCTCCTGTTTTCCTCACAGTCAACAGAGATTGTAATACACGAGTGAATAGTTGATTATAATACTGAAGTAGTCCACGTTTCTGTTGTAAGACAAGGTTCTTGTGTCATTTTGTCAACGTAAGGTTCATTTTAAAAATGCCTAGATGGGTTATGATTTATGTTGGGATGAAACGCCTTTCCAGTAGTCTAAAATGTCATGCAGGTCCTCATCCTTTGCAAACTGAACTTTCTTACGCAGGGCATGTCCCGCAGCCATGTACTCCTCATCTTTATGCCGTTTCCGGTGCAGTTTGAGTCGCTCCCAGATGCTGTGTGAAGGTTTGCAATAGTACTCGGGACTAGAGGAGTAGCTTAAATTGTGATACTGAGAGGACATTTGGGAATACGCTAAGTCTCTGGAGCGGGAGTGAGTGAGCGGCTCCAACAATTTGTGGCTGTCGGGTCCTTCTAGCTCCTCAATTTGAGCGTCGGGATACGAGTGCCGGTGGTCACTGTACTGACGGATCTTCTCCGCCTCAGCCCTCAGGATAGCAGCAGCAGGTGTTACGGTGATGATGCTCTCACCAGTAGGGGAGGTTTTTTCTATGTACTTGGATTCAGAGCGGTAAGGCCTGGGGCTTCTCATGGGCCCTCCTGTGGCAGTGCTGGGCCTCTTTGGCGAGACATCTGAGCTCCGATGCCTCTGCAGAGAGTGATGGTAGCTGTCTTTGTACACTGGAGAAAGAAGGCTGGATTTACCCTGGGGGTGCTCTGATATTAAGACAAGCTGGGGCTCTGCAGTGGACACGGCTCCAGATTTAACCCCTTGAAAAGAGGTGGATTCTGACTTAAGAGCATCTATGCAGTTGTTAATTATCTGATTAACTTTATCAACTTCTTTTGCGATCGTGGAAATCTCTGCCACCGACCCTTGACTGTTTCCTGCCATTCCCATTTCACACTCCCTGCGCTCATGATGGTCCATGCTTCGAACATCCATGTAACTTCCCTTAATCATTTTGGGAGTATTGCTTATCTCCTGGAATTTGTACTGCTCCATTTCACTCGCAGATGGTAAGTACGGCATACGAGCCATGCTCTCTCCAGCCAACAGCTGCTTTTGTGACATCTGAGAAATAGTCCCACCCTCTAGTTCTTGTCCGTATTTTAGTTCCATTATGTTTTTTTTCAGACTGCCCGCCTTTTTTTGCTTTTCATCTTGTTGCCGCTTTCTTCGCAAGCAGTAGTAAACAATCCCCAGAAATATAACCATGCTAAAGAGGCAACCTAAAATCGTCATAATGTAATGAGTGGCAGTTGCATTGTTTACAACTCGTTCTTTTCCATTCCAAGGTCCAGTYAAGATTGTAAGACAAGTATGGTTGTGTCTAAGAGAATTACGAATCGAAGCCACACAGTATGTGTAGTTGGTGTGGGGTTTAAGGTTCTTTAGTTCAACGTCCTCTTTTGTATCTTTAAGGTTTCGAATATCTGTGAAAAAGCTGTTATTGTAAAGAACCAAAATGTACATTTTCTTGTAAGGATGAGGGATCTGAACAGTAATAGTGGCACCCGTGTTCGTTACTTGCTTCACTTTCATTAGAGGGTTTCCTTGCACCTCGTTTTCAGTTGTACTCACTGTAATATCCTCTGGTTCTGTGCCTGAAGGACAATCGTCCAACCCACAAAGCGTTGAGTCAGGTGGTATTATTGTAGATTCAGTGCTCACAGAGATGAATGGTGTCACATAGTCATCGGTACACACAGTAGTTAGCATATGAAGTGCATTTCGATATGTTGGATTGTTAGGATTCTGGCTCAGTAGGCTATAACCTGCAACACCACGTGGAGAGTCACACACCATCCGCTCGTTTGTTCGGTTCGGGAAGGTTGACAGCCATTTCACGAATCCCAGCAACTCACACGAGCAGTTGAATGGGTTGGTGTAGAGCTCGCAGGTAGAAAGTTTAGTTAAACTGGTGAATGTGGACCCATCTAACTGCTGTATTCGGTTTATGGACAGATCAATGTTTTCTATGTTGGGGCATTCCCAAAAGGCATTAGGTGTCACAGTTTCAATCAGGTTTGCCTGGAGGTAGAGGTACTGCAGCTTTCCTAAACCCCGAAGGATCCCCTCTGTCAGGTTCCGTAACCTGTTGAAGCCCATTTGAAGGACTTGCAAGTTAAACTGAGCAGAAAAGGCCCCATCCTCGATGTAAGATATTTCATTCTTGGTCAGGTTCAGGTAGGTCAAGTTGGCAAAGCGACTGAGGGAAGAATAATGAATGCTTTTGATTTTGTTTTCATTCAGACGAAGGTCCACAATGGTGTTGTTGATATGCTGTGGGATGGCCTCAAAGGGTGGTTGGTTTTGGCTGCAAATTGCAAGCCATACAAAGCCCTTTTCACCTTCAATTAACCAGCAGTCCCCACTAACTCTGCCGATGTGAGTCAAGTATACAATGGTCACAGACCAAAACATGGCGCTCATCACCATGCCTGAGCTGCAGGCCATTAGTCCTTCTCTGAGAGTCATGTGCAGGGTCAAACAAATAAAAGGAGGGTGATCCCACTGTTGTTTCAGTACCTTGATACAATCCTTTTTCTGAATCAGCTGGCTGTTTAACTGTTCTCAGTGCCAGAACCGATGCTTTTATTTGTCTTCTCTTTATCGATGGATGAATGACGATGCATATTGTCCCCATGTACCAATCAGATAAATAACTGGTATCTTCCTGCAAACTCTTTCAATGAGATTCGTCAGCAGTAAACTTGGGAACTTTCATCACCTTAGCTTGGCTTGTGCTTTTTTTCCACCTCACACACGATCATTATGAAATCGTTCCATCTTCAGTGCTCCCCTTCTTGTGCCTTTCTCATGTGCACGGATGAATAACCTGCAACATGGAGACAAAACATACATGTTGACACCATGACCACATCAATAGGAAAAAAGGRATTTTTATGTTGCATATGTTGGGAGTGAAATGCTATGCTCAAAGTGTGGATTTGTGTTTACTCAAGCCCTTCTTGTTTGTACTCCCCCCAATTATTTTGTACACAGTTTAAGAGGTGTTTGCAGTCCCTGTGGCAGACTGCTATTAAGGGAAACTGTTGGCCAATTACCATTTGACAGGTTGAGAAAAGCAAGGTCCCTGTTTTCACACCATTAACCTGAGGACTGTCAAGTGAGGGGCCTATGTTAAGAAGCTGGGTTAAATCACATGCACAGCACCATGTAATGTGACAGCTTGGATCAATGTATTTAGCATTTTTTCCCCAAGACTCTTCATGCATAAAGTGAAATCACTTTGAGGACTGGATTTCATAAAAGTTGTGAACAAGATGTGATTACTTTGCTATCATAAACTTAATGACAATGGGCCTCATGCAAGAACCGTTCGTACGCACAGATTTGTTCTTAAGTTGTGCGTACGAGTGATTTAGGAG